GGGTGCAACTGGCTTCTGTATGGGTGGAGCCCTTTCTTTAGCAGCTGCCGCACTACTTCCTGAAGAGATTTCTGCTGCTGCTCCATTCTATGGCATTCCCCGTTCTGACCTATGTGATGTGGGCAAGATCAAAGCACCAGTGCAAGCCCACTTTGGTAGTAAAGATACACTAGAAGGGTTCTCTTCACCCAGAGATGCTAAGGCTCTCGCAGAGAAGTTTGATGCTACAGGAGTGAATTATGACTTACACATGTATGATACCGGCCATGGTTTTACTAATCCAACTAATCCAAATTACACCAAGGAAATTTGTGATTTGGCATTAGGAAGGATGGTAGACTTTATGAAGAAACATTTACAGTGAACCTGAATTGCAAACAAACTTTGATTCTGTGGGTGTTTCTGTGATATTGTTCTTAAGTCGACAGACTTGCTAGAGTTGTGACACATACTTCTTTAAAAATGTTTTCAAAACATGCTAAACGTTTTTCAACTAAACCACTCTACCAATCCACATTTTACCAAGGAAAAAATTAATAGTTATTTGGCTTTAAGGTAGTCTGAAAGATTACTATGAATTATTAACAGTGAACCATATTTTAAAAAGAATTTTAATAATCTAGAGCTTTAAATGCAGTTCTAATTAAAATTAGGTTCATTTTTAAAGACAACTGACTCATTTTCATATACTTAAATAAACATGATACCAATACTCAAATCATACTGTTACTACAAATAATGTAGTACAACTCATTATTCTCCATGGGTCCAGCTGTGAACTAACCCACGTCTAAGATTTCATGTGGCAAATTGCGTAGATGGGGAGCCATCAGGAGCACATAATCCGGAGTGAGCAACTCTCTGGTGCCCATGCAATGGCATTTTCACAAACCAATTTATTTTTAGATCGACGTCCCACAAATTTTGACTATAAAATAGGGACCTCTTCACATGAGCCCTGTTGACTGGGCCGACCCACTTACCGGGACTAATTTCACCTTGGAAAAAATGAGAAATTTCAGCCCAAATTCCGAGATGAGAAAGAGGTCAAAGACGAGTTGTGGCATGAAATTCAAGAAACAAAGCAAACATGGCAAAACACATACCGTATTTATTTGAATAAGCGCCCAACCTCGAATTAGCGCCCAACTCGAATAAGCGCCCATCCTAAAGGCAGAAAAAGTTAATAAGCGCCCAGCCTCGAATAAGCGCCCACCCCCCTCCTCCTCCCAGTCAAACTCAAGTAGGCGCTCACCCCCACCCCACCCACTTGAGTGACCAAATTAATATCAATGAATGAATGAATGAGAACTGTAACGTTTTGTAATGTTTTGCAGGTACTAATTAGTTGAATTAGTACTTAAATTTAGACTAATAGCTTTTGCAATACTGTAATTCCTTTATGGTCATGCAAATAAAGCTTTTGGTGTTGTTGTTGTTGAGTGAATAAACTTTAATAAGAGACTTTCCTGAGGACGGAGTTTTCTTCAGAGTATTTTACAGAAACCTTGCTTTGTTACTTCCTCGCGTTTTGTTATTAGCATTTATTGTTTTGTTGCAAAATAAATATACTTTACTTGCTGAAAATGGTGAAAATTTAATAAGCGTCCAGCCTCGAATAAGCGCCCACTTCTAATAAGCGCCCACTCTCAAGGTCCAAAAATTTAATAAGCGCCCAGGGCGGTTAATCGAATAAATACGGTAGTTATAACCTTCACACCTTTCATAGCTTTGGCAACTCTTGTAGCTGTATCGCTACAGTTAAATTGGATACTTATGATGTGGAAAATGCCGCAGGCAAACCAAAACGATGCAGAATTCATCTGAAGAATTCATCCCGGTAACCGGGCTGAAGTGTTCATATGGCAAAAATTTTCAGCCCGCTTACCGAGATTCTGGTTGGAAAAACCGAGATCTTCGGAACTGAGCCAGCCCGCCCTCTCATATGAACACGTCAAAACTTAATTAGTTTTCTAGTTTTAATGTCTTTGTTTTTGTGTTATGTCAGAGCTCCATTTAAACTAGCTCTGCTAAATTAAATGCCCCTTGATAAATATTGATTTGAAAAAATTGCAAAGGATTCAGAGGTAAGGCAAGATCTCAGGACCAGGACAGCGTGGTCAATCGGGCTCATATGAAGAGGCCTAAGTCTTATAATTCAGTTATTAAAATTTAAAATCAGAGACAAGAAACTAGTATCTGTGATGTTTGTAAGCATTTACTTTTTCTGTTTGTGATTACCATACTACCATGGATGCGCACACATATCGAGTAGTGCTTCCTTTTTTGCACTACTTAGTTCAGGCTCTATGAGAGTTTGTTGGGATTTGAATTTTATAAGAAAAAGTACGAGAAAAAACAAAATACTTTTGTACATCCTAAATTCTGCTCTTTGAAAAGATTCGAAATAAAAAGAACTCACCTTTTCTTTGTGTTGAGTGTTTTACAGTCATTTTGCTTCTAGGGGCATTTCAAAGCCTTTTTGGCAAGTTTTAAATTTTAAGTTCAACTTTTCAAAAACTGAAAAAAATAGGATGTATTTTGTTTGTTCTCATACATTCTCTATACTCTGTTAAAATACAACCACTAGAGTGAACTCTTCTCTCCCCACCCCTGCTTTTTATAGATATACTAATGCTAATAATAAAATTAATAATAATAATAATAATAATAATAGTAATAATGGTTGTAGTTTCCTATTTACTTTAATCTCCGCTTCGATTGCTTTTCACTAAGTTGTAAGTAGTGCATGCAAAAACCAAATAAATAAATAAGTCAGGCTCCTGATAAATAAATTAAAAAGGTGTCCACAGAATAGAGGTATACATACATACATACATACATAAATACGTTTTTTTGAGTCTCCCTTTACAGGGCTTTTCAGACACAACTAACTAATTACATAAAATTTACAGAAATAAAATCTAAAATCTAAGAACCTAAACTAGAGTATTCGTTAAAATAAAAAATATACCATTGAACAATAAATTAGATATAGAAATTCCTAATAATGCAATCTAATCGTTAAATATACAAATAAATAATCTTTTCTTAAAAACCTTGATGTCTTTAATGTTCTGAAGGTCCTTTGGCAGGTCATTTTCAAATTGTATGATAGTCCTGACAACTTAGTGAGGGTACATAGCTCTTTTTTTTTTTATTCTTGACCTCAGATTTTGTTTCACAGTTCAGCTGCATCCCACTGTTTGCTTACATGCCAGGAGTAGAACATATTTTTGGGAAATATTGTTCCTACATCTCACCCAACAAACCAGTTCAAAATTTTGCTTTAAAATTTCCCTGTTACTTTCATCTTAACGTGAAATGTGCCATGTCAACATCGATTTTTCTCTCAACAACACGAAGGAAACCAGTGTCAAATGAGAAAAACAGATTGGCTCTCTTGCCCTGGGTATCCAAAAACCTTAGCTATTTACCACAATAAGTCCCATGGGCAGTTTCTTTCTTCTTTGTGACGTAATGCACTAGTCAATTGTATTCCTAACCCCCCAAACCCCCACAGATAGTAGGGATTTTACGAAGCAATAGTGAGTAATTTTACATTCTTTTCTTGCACTAGCCTCTGGGAATTATAGCCTGTGTAGCAGGTGCTTGGAAGTAGTGGGTGCAAGAAAGAATGGGCGTGGGAGAGGGAGACACGTGAGAGGAGAGGAAGCGCGTGCCCTGAAGGCCCAGGAAAATCATCTCCCGCCCCCAATCTAATTACCTGGAAGCTGCTGCATGATGTCAAAAAATTTGACAGAAAACGACTGACCTCACACAAACAAAGAGCACCGCCAAAAAGTGTTGTACATTTTATCCTTGGTCTAAATATATCTGTTATAAAGATCAGCCAGGTTATCTGATTATAAAGCGATGGAGCAATAAACTGATGGTTAACATACAGTTTTAAATCGTTTTTAACCACGGGCACAATAAATATTAAAGAACAAAATCAAAAATGGGTATCTTTTAAAGAATACATCCTGTGTATAAAAAAAAGCTATTAATATTGTTCTCTGAGCTTACTTAGTCACAACTGTACAGACACCAATGATCCCAGCGTACATGGAAAATGACCATTGCTTTTACTGCGCTAAGTGGCAGCTGTTTTTGGAGCAGACATGTCTTTCTAAGCATAGGTAACTTTTTCCCGTGAGAGCCTCTCAACCAATTGGAAATATCCGCACTCAGAGAATGCAAGTTGAAATGATTTTCGCAGGCCTTCCTGGCAGGCGCTCTCTCTCCCCTCACGCGTCTCCCTCTAGCACACCAGATCTTTCTTGCCCCCACTACTTCCAAGCACCTGCTATGCAGGCTAGGAAATTACCAAAAATTTACAGCTACACACATCTATCCCAGGGTGGGAAGTCAGTTGACCATGGTCGATGACATCAAGCCTTCATGAAGACTGTGACCCAGCTAACTTTTAATGAAAACTAGCAGCATTTGAAGGGCAATTCAGCCACTCCCTCAAAAAAACTTAACAATTTTGATACTATAAATTTGTTTTCTTTAAAACTATTCTGAATTTTAGCATAATTATGGCTAAAATTGGCGAAAAGACATGGATCGAATGACTGCTGCCCAACCTTCTCTGGGCTATGCTTTTTATGATATGGCTGTTCCGGTCCTAGCGCTAGCATTACTAACTGATGCAACAAATTAAAACAAAATACAAATGCACAGACCCATGAACACAATGTTTTTCTAATTGTTGTTATGTGTTTGTCCAAAAAGGCCTATGAAGCTGGCAAATTAACACACTTAACACATACCTAACTTGCACATAAAAATAACTCTTTGAACCTATGATTTGTAGACAGTTACAAGAATCTCTGCTATACGTTGATGAACTCATTATATCTGAAAGTTTTTAAAATGTGTCAGTTCATATATGGCCTTTTTTTGTTTTTGATATGGAGGAGAGATAAGATGCATGACTCAATTCAAATATCTGGTCAGTTTAAGAGAGTCATTTGTTAAACTTGAAAAGCGGTTCATTGAGAGATAGCTTATTAGGGAGGGGTAATTACCTTGTCAATCTGTCCCTAGGGCCTGGGGTAAATCCTTTAAATTACGAGGATACTTTTGTAAATTTCCCGACTATTCCCCTGGGGTTTGGGGGTCGTGGTTGCAATTGACTAATGCATAACCATGGTACCATGGTAAATTTAGGGCCCGACCATTTAACTTTTGATGGGAGGCAGGGGGGGGGGGTGATTTCTGGTCAACAAGGATTTTTTTTTTCGAGCAATCTGGTGGGCAGGTAGCCTGCGTGGCAGGCGCAAAAAGGGGAGGGGGAGGGGGGAGGGAGAAAGGGAAAAGGGAAAAGGGAAGGGACCCCAATCCCCCTCCCCTTTTTCCCTTCCTCCCTACCCCCTACCCCTTTCGANTTTTTTTTTCGAGCAATCTGGTGGGCAGGTAGCCTGCGTGGCAGGCGCAAAAAGGGGAGGGGGAGGGGGGAGGGAGAAAGGGAAAAGGGAAAAGGGAAGGGACCCCAATCCCCCTCCCCTTTTTCCCTTCCTCCCTACCCCCTACCCCTTTCGACGCCTGCTACGCAGGCTAGTGGGCAGGATATTTTTTTCCCTCTTTTTCCCATAAGCAGTCTATTACATTTGTGCTGCATGCAATTTTTTTCTTCCGACAAGCCCTTGCAGGAAATTTTTTTTCAAAATCACCCACCCCACCGCACCCCCCTCAAGAGTTAAATGGTCGGCCCCTTATCTCAGGAAAGTTCGGTCACTCGCAAACCTTGTTCCTTTTTGCCTTACTTTTTCCAATGTTGATTATTTAGCGAGACTGAAATGATGTAATTCAATGTGCAGCGAAATACGAACTTTGACACAAACACATTTTACCTACCTTCACAAAATCTTCAAATTTTCCCACCTAAACCTAACAAGACCGGTTCCAAAAATAGTTTGCGAAAGTAGCCTGACCCACAACTCAACAGAGCCCATCTTTCGGGTTTTAGTTAAAGTCTAGAAAGAATTACGAAAACATAATGCGTACTGTCCGCCAGAATAGGTGCGTGCGAGGGAGGACACACATACTGTAGTAAAAAAATATTGAGAAAACCTCGTACTCATATTCGTTCTCGTCTTAGAATCTTAAGGTCTCTATTAACTGCTATCATAAACTCTTACCATTCCTCCAAGTTTGTGCATACTCTCTGCTAGCAAGTCAATGGTTGTTTGTACATCTTCGTCTACCGCCGCTGAAAGCTCGGCCAAAATCACCAGAACAGCTGTTACTCTCGACCAAGTAGACTCAGAACTCAGAAGATACTCACGAATCACGCCATCTAGGTAAAGTAAAACACGCTCGTCACCGCAAATTCGTCGTACCTGTTCCAACACTTGAGAAATCCTCGAAACCAGTAACCCCACAACTTCCGCGTAAAAATCACCAGCAACACTACCTTGATAAAAACCCTTCTTATAACGCTCCAAGATTTTGCCAACCACGATACTCAATTCCGCCTTTTCTAACTTAACCAGCAAATCAATTCGCTTAACCCCTGAGAGAAACTTTTTCAGCAACGACATGTCATCAAACAACAACTGATTATGATCCTGTAACAACTCAATCAATTTAAAAATATCCTAGCCTGAATTTCATGCGATTACTTCGAGTCGTTATTACTCCCTCAGTAACGTCTGAATCGACCGGCCGTTAATGCCGTCCAGTGACGTCACTACTCCTTGACCTTTGCTTTAATTCATGCAAAAAGTAAAACATGATTTTCAAGTGGCAAACCGAGAAATATCGCTTGGAAATGTCTGCATGATACAGAATTGCTTTATTTTTTTCGATCGTAATTCATTTTTAACGTTCAAACTATCAACTGCATGCAGTACAACTCTAAACCGGTTGTACTGAATTCTATAATCAAACTCGGTCGCAATCACGCAATGAAATAAACACACACATGAAACACTTAGTTCAAAAACACAATGATTTGCTTTAATTGAAAAGAAGCTATTTGGTCCTTAACGAAAAAAAAACAAGGAAACAAGAAAGAAAAGCTAACAGAATCGTTACACTTGACGGTGAAAATAGCAAGAACGTCGAATTATAACAGTGATCTCAGAAAACTTCACGTAAACAAAATCACCGTGGCCGAAACCACAAAGCGGCTCTAAATGAAAAACCTACCGACTCTCCGCAATGATTCTTCATTCGCAGTTCAATTTAGCATTTCAGTTTTGAAGACAAGGGCAATTTTGCTGTTTAAGATAAAGATTAAGCTTATCGAAATGTTTGAACTACACGAAAGAATGCCAGGGATGCGATCCGCTGAATATCAAGCGACAATCCCGCTAAAATTTTTCATAATTATACATAATTATGCGAATGTTTAAACAATCAACCAATCAAAATCACTACCCGGTTTTCGGGTAGTGAGTGACGTCACTGGACGGCATTAACGGCCCGTCGATTCAGACGTTGTTGAGAGGAGAAAACGACTCGAAGCAATCGGATGAATTTCAGGCTAAAAATATCCCCATCGTCATCGACATTTATATCCAAATCCTTCCCTGGAATGAACCCTTTGCACCAATATCTAAATGCTTTACGATCATCCTTATACAAGGAATTAACGAATTCTAAGATAAAACGTTTAAACACGGCTTGTTGTTGGGAGCTTGGAAAGCCAGATGGCTTCCGCCCAACAGATAATCCTCCACTTCTCGCCGCCATCCACTTCACTTTCTTTTCTTCATAGTATCCGGGAATTTGTAAGACCACGTGATTGGGGCGACAAAAAGGAGCCCGCAGCCTATTCTTGGTCAGCGGCATCCTAGTACAATCATCAATTGCAGAATTTAATGACTGTCGAATTTAATATGTCTACTTTTCATTTTTGCTGATCAGGCCCCAGTTGTTCGAAAGTTGGATAGTGCTATCCACCGGATAAATCACTGTCCAACGGATAAGTGTTAGGGAAACCAATTGCGCTATCCACTGGATAGTGATTTATCCGGTGGATAGCGTTATCCACCTTTTGGCCAGGTCTTTTTAGCTCCTACGTTCTTCGGCATATTCGTTTGCGGTCCTTTGCAGTCCTTTGTGGTTAATGTTTGTACTTAATGTATTCTGGGGCCGTAGATCTTTTATAGATCCGATATGCCGTAATTCTAGATCTTGCATGGTTCTGTCCATGTTTTAGACTGCAAAACAGTCCGGTTTTTTGCGTATTCAAGTACGCGCGAGAAGTCAAACAAAAGGTCTGGAACGAGGCTGAAAACAGAGAGCGACACCTAGGGAGAGCTAAAAATACAGACAGAAAAACACATGTTTCTCTCGCCTCAAACGCCCTAAGGGCATGTGAGGCTCGCGCGCTTCGCGCGCGTAAGACTCTTACGGCACGCTTTACCGATTTCTTTAATGATTTTGAGAAAAAAACCGACTGTTTTGCAGTCTATCCATGCTTCAGAGGTTGGTTTTGGCCCATTCTTTATTTTCTCATTGAGACATCAACTTGACACTTGGACTCTTGCCCCCCAGAAGACACGTGGGGGGCGTGATTCTGTGGGTGCTGAGAGTTGGACTTAGGGTGATTCCCTAGTAAAAGAACCTAATATAGATTGTAGATGAAACTTGGTACTCTGATGTAACAGGTCAAGAAGATGATAAAAAGGTAATAAAAAGTGGGGGTCACCGTGCTCGTTTTGACGTCACAATGCTGACAAATACGGCTATTTTGGATCCTTAAACAAAAACCGCGTGCAGCCCAAAACTAGACAAAAAGGAAAGATTTTTTCAATGATGCATGTGGTATCGCCCAGAATTTGACTTTAATGTATTGTTTATCCACTTACGTACCAGAAAAATGCCTTTTAATGCCCTTGTTTTTACTTTACGCTCCAAAGTAGAATTAAATTGACCACGCACTATTCGACACGTGATAGCTCAATCCGTACAATTTAGTAAAATTGCCAAAAAACTGAACATAGATTTGTGCCAATTTTTTTCTCACCGAAAGGAAGCACTGTCCTTATTAAAATCATGAAATAAAAAATGGGGGTCACCGTACTCGTTTTTGCGGTAGAGCTGCAGAAAGTGCGCACCAAATGCATTTTCCTTGATTTTTGAGAGAGGACTGGGGCGAGTTTCAAAATGGAATGTATACGAAAGGGGGAAGAAAGTATTAAAAAATCCGTTTTTACAGAATTTACATCGAGATATCACATTTAGGACACAATTTGATAAAGAAAGCGTTTAAATGAAAATCAAAGTGAATAAGCACAAATTAAACATCCACTATCGAGGTTCTCCGTGAGGAAGTCAAACTCAGCAACACGCGTACTGCTTACGTTATGCACATTCCCACCACATTGAGTCTCACCTCGGCAAGAAACAACCGCAAGCAAAAATTGCAATAGCGTTTCTCTTCGGTCAACTTCATTTTAATAATGTTACTGCACATGCTCTTTTTTTACGGAGGCCATCTTGTTATGCGCAGTAAGAGATGCGCAGTCCAAAACCAGGGAATCACCTTAAATCAGAGTGCGCGGATATTTTTCATCAGAGCTTTCTCTGGTTGTTACGCCATACTGACGAGCCCCAAAGAGGGCGAAACAGCTGTCTATGGTTACAATCCCGCTCTGTTTTGAGTTCTTTCGGTGTCGTGTTGATGTCTTGCAGAGTTAATTTTCACGTTGTACGATCAGCATTGCAGTATTCTGTTTGCAGAATTTAATGTCTACCTTTCATTTTTGCTGATCAGGCCTTTATAGATCCTACGTTCTTCGGCATATTCGTTTGCGGTCCTTTGCAGTCCTTTGTGGTTAATGTTAATGGTTAACTGTATAGCGCAATTTTTTCTTAGACTAATAGTCCCCATTTTGGATCACTCACCGTTTGATGGCCAAAACAAATCCACCCTACGGAAAACAAACGCCGTACCACCTAAAGCTTGCTGAACTGCCGTCAACTAGCTCATTGCCCTAAGGACGGTAATTGCTTAAAATCAGCCGTGATCTACCAAGCGATAGTAGCAACGGAGGACAACAGGCCAGCCGAGGCCTATGTAGGCCTTACTGAGAACTCTTTTAAGACCAGATACTCGAACCATAAGTCTTCTTTCAGAGACCCAAACAAGAGACTCAGTACAGAACTCAGTAAGCACATCTGGCACTTGAAAGACGCTAAGATTGGATTTAGATTAACTTGAAAGATCTTAAAGCAAGCCGCACCTTTTAATCCCGCTTCAAATCGCTGTAATTTGTGCCTGTGGGAAAAATATTTCATCATTTGCAGAGCCGATATGGCTAGCTTGAACAAGCGAAATGAACTCGTAACTTCCTGCAAGCACGCGCGTAAATTCCTTCTTAGCAGCTTTACATCTTCCGTTGGCACGCAATAGTTTTTTGTTCAAATTCTGCGCGCGCGTTTGTAGTCTTAGCGTATGCGTGGTAACCCCGGGGTTGTAACGAACATGTACATGTTGTTGGCAATTTTATCTGACGAGTGCCGTGCATGCCGTGCGGTACGAAACTTACCCTGCGAACAGAGTCTCCTTCGATCTTCCTACTTATCTAGGAAAGATCGAAGCGACTCTTATAGCAGGGTATACGAAGCTAACTAGTAATAAAAATGCCAAGTCGGATCTCATGCTGACACCAGACAAACTAGATTATACTACGCTCTAGTCCTTCTATTGAGTACTCTGGACGGACGGACGGACGGACGTTTTGACAACCTGTGAGGAAGTCATCATCAAAGTCAAAGCAAGTTATGTATTGCCAGTGGACTGTACTAAGCTTGACTGGTTCCTGACCTGACTGGTCAACTAAGCTGTGATGTTATAACAACTACTAATAGTTACGTCCTACGTATTACATGACTGCTAGATTGAACAACTTTACAAAAATAGTAACACCAAACATTGAAAAGTATTTGCAATTCGGGTCGGGTGAAGTTAACTATTATTACAAAAAGACTATAAAAGATGATACTGGAACAGTTATAAATGCAAACAAAACATAGGATGTTTTATAGTAGTAAATTGATTGATTGTTCCACTTTAGAGGTACAAGAATTGTTTATACTATAGGCCGGAAGCTCCTGAGTACCCAACAAACGTGTTGCACTGATTATCTTTTTTTATAATTTCTGTTAATACAGGTGTAGTACAATGGAAGCTCTCCTTTGGGACACCTCTATTCAGGGGACACCTCGCCCAGCACCTCGAAAAATGACTGACAACAAAAATCGTTTATAAAGTTTAAGTGTTCACTATAGTCACCTACAATGGCGACATCTTTTAAAACGTGAACTACATATAGTCTCACCGTGATGTACTGCACTTTTGGGAATTCCGGAAACAAACAACATCGCAAAGATATAAGTTAAACATGATTTTTTTATGCATTATATCTAGCTGCTTGAAATAATGACTGTAGCAGATTCCGAGGCGGAGTAAATATTATATTTGTTGGTTAATTATTAAGAAACCCCAACCCAACCTCCACTCAAGTGACATCTCTATTCAGGCGACACTTTCCTTGGTCCCGAGGGTGTGCCCTGAATAGAGGTTCCACTGTACACTGTTTGAACCGTCACTCAGGTTTGACTTATTTATCTGGGTCTCTACCATTCAAGGCTGAACAATATTTTATACGATTTCCAGTTTTTATGTTACTAAATTAAAGAAGAGAATATTTTGCTTGAGTTACCTCAACCCTGGTATTAAGTAACTATTACTCATCTGGGCGATTGTTTTGTTCTAACTATAATGACGGTGGCAGACCAACGTAGCGGTGATTTCAGGTCCTTTCATGGTGTTATTGATTTAAAATTCCGGGGTATAAAAGGGACTGAGGAGTACGTCATTTTCTTGCATTCACCAGGGCCTAGGGGCTTGCAATCTCATGTCCCACTTAGCTCCCACTTCACAATTTGTAACAGACGAACTAAACTTAAAATATTTGCAGGGGCTTTTTGCTTAGGTTTTTTTTTTTTTTTTTTGGGGCGGGGGGTCCCGGTTTTTTGTCATCCCGACCTAGAATGCTCGTTGGAGAGAACT